GTTCCAGACACATGACTGGATTCAAAAATCTCCTCAATAATGTTATGCCTCACACCACCAGTTTTGTGACCTTTGGAGATGGTGCTAAAGGAGAAATCAAAGGAGTTGGTAATTTGGACTACCCTGGAGTTCCAAGTCTGAATAAGGTACTGCTGGTAAAAGGGTTGACTACTAATCTCATCAGCATCAGTCAATTATGTGATCTAGGATTCATGGTCAACTTCTCAAGATCTGAATGTCTAGTGTTTAATGAAAAACTAGATATTGTAATGAGAGGAATAAAATCCAAAAATAACTGTTATGTGTGGCAGCCTGAGAACACTGATATCCACACCTTGAGTCAAATCATCAAAGAAGAAAAAGATATGAAACAGTGGCAGCATAAACTTGAAGGAATGAAAAGAGCTATTCCTATGGAAGATGTCAGAAGAACTCCTAAACTACAGGCTGATAATATATGTGATGTGGCAAAGAACAAGTCTCATAAATTCTGTTCTGAAGACAATGTTACACAAGATGTTGTGACATTGTGGTGTGATAATCTGAAAACATTCAACATTTCCTTAAACCCTATTGACTTTGGAGAGAAGAAATCATTTGAACTGAAACATAGGTTCTCTGAGCTTCAGCTAACTGATTCTTCTATCAAGGCGCTTGTTGGAAATCAACTTGAAAATTTGAAGGGCAGATTGGGTATTCACCAACATGAGAAATTATAGCAATTAGTTTTGCTGAAAACAAGGGTTGAAGGGATTAATTCTATTAAGTCTATATTTAGTGGGTTGATCATATTCATTCACAATTCCTTCAAAAGCCTTCAGAAGTTGAAAAGACTCCCTTGTACTCCCTATCTCTCTCATCCTTGCAATCTGTTTTCTCCTCCCAATCAAAGAGCTTTCTCAAATTGCTACTGCTACTCAACGTTAAACACAATGTCTCAGACATCATCTTCCACTATGGCGGCTTCGTCTCACTCATCATCATCGTCATCTGATCAAGATTCTAGGGCAATCACGACATGCATAGAATCTGAAGTACTTGAGGTCACTCCTCTCAGGGAGATGGCAACTAACCCAGCCAAAATCAAGAAGCTCAGGACCAGACATGCAGGAAGAACTCAAGCTGCAGTCTCTGGTAATTCTTCTCTTCCTTCATCTACTATACCTAATAAAGAAGGAACAGTTCAAGTACACCAAGCTATCTGTACCGGGGATTTCTATTCCCTTGAATCAATCTGAAAGTCCAAATGTGGAAGGTTCTGAAAATATAGATGTCACTGAGGATGTTGTGACACCAAAAGACAACATTCAGAATCCCTCTGAAAAGGCTGCTGATCCACCTATCATTGATGTGGATGAAGAACTGATTGCTAATGTGAACCCTAGCATTGCTAGGAGATTGATGAAAAGAAAAAGTAGTGAGACTGTTAAACCTAAGGGATGGCTGAACAAATTCAGACAAAAGGGAAGAAGGCACAGGTGCTGACTGCTAGACAACCAATCTCCAAGAAAAGAAAAGAACCTGAAACTTCTGACTCTGATGATGAATCAGAATTTGAGATTGACATTGACAATGCTCCCATCAGAAGGAAGCTCCCTTCCAGCAAGATTGCTAGAGTACCTGAAGTGCCAACTAACAACATCTCCTTTCATCATCCTGATAATGCAAACAGGTGGAAGTATGTTTGCTTGAAGAGAATAGCCTTGGAGAGAGAACTCAACAATGATGCTTTGGAGTGCAAAGACATCATGGAGCTGATCAGGAATGCTGGGCTAATAAAGACTGTGATAAAGTTTGGCAAATGCTATGAAAATCTGGTTAAAGAGTTTGTAGTGAACTTATCCAATGATTGTGCTGATGGGAGGTCAGCTGACTTTGAGAGTGTGTTTGTTAGAGGAAGAAGGGTCAAGTTCTCTCCATCAGAAATCAACAAGTTTCTTGGAAGAACAAATAAGGACTGTTCTGACCTAGAGGCAACTGACAATGAAGTATGCTTGACCATCACTGCCAAGCAAGTAAAGTGCTGGCCATTGAAAGGGAAGTTGAATGCTAGTAAACTCAGCATGAAATTTGCCATCTTGCATAAAATAGGTGCAGCAAATTGGGTGCCTACAAATCACAAATCAACCATCTCCACAGGATTGGGGAGATTCATCTATGCTGTAGGAACCAAGACTGCCTTTGACTATGGAAGGTACATTTTTGAACAAACCTTGAAGCATGCTGGCAGTTATGCTGTCAAAGGACCAATTGCCTTTCCCTCCCTCATTTGTGGAATCATCCTTGCACAATATCCTGACATACTTGTAGCAAGAGATACAGTCTGCAAAAGAGCCCCTGCTCTTGGCCTGCACTACAAACTGTTTCAGGGATCCCATGCTCCAGACATTGTCATAACATCAGCTGAGACATCGTCTGCAAAGAGCCAGTCCAAAACATCAGATGTCATAGCTGTCTTAAAAGAAACTTGCAAAGATCTGGATGCTAGAAAAAGGACTCTAGAAGCACTAATTGCCAAGCTAGAAAAGGAAGAAGCTGAAGCAAGCATGAGGGAAGAAGATGAAGAAAGTGGCTCCTCTGAGTCTGATGACAGTACTTGAAGGATGATTGCTGCTTGATGGTGTTGCTGGTGGAGTTTGGAAGTATGTTCTGCTGTTGTCTGCTGCTGATCTCATTATTTTGTCTTGGATAACTGTATTACTTTATAAACATGTAATCTTTGGCCCATTTGTGGCTAAAGTGGGGGAGAATATTTGGTACTGCTTAATTAGTACTTAACACTATATTTTTCTGCTGTCGTCATTTATTTCTGCTGCTATCTATCTATCTCTGATTGTTTAGGGACTTTAGCCAAAAATCTGCCAAAGGGGGAGTTTGTAGGTGTTTAGGTATTGGCTTGCATTTTTGGTAAATTCCAAGTGTATGTGTGAATGTCATGACTGATGTCATAACATTCTAGTTCAGGTTGTACTAACTCTTTAGGTACATATGCAGAAAAATATTGTAACTCAAATACTGATGTTTATAAGTGTGTATCTGAGCATGTTTGCAAAATGATCACATTTAGCTAATCAGTAGACAGGTTTTCTCAGATGTCATAACAGATGTTATGACATCCTGTTCTGAACTAGCAGGATTACAGGATTGGATAAGTCTGAGTTTTTTCAGGAAATAACTCAGTCCTTCTTAAACAGAATCCTGCGTTTTCTGAGGAGTAACCTCGCTCAATCCTAACCTGATCAACAAAGTACTGTGACCTGGTCATTAGGTCAAAAGGAATCAACCCTAGGTTTTTGGAAACCCTAACTGAAGTTGCAGCTGCTATATATTCAACAGAGCTGCGGTTTTTGAAGTCATCCCTGCTGATTGATTAGAAGATCGAGTTTGTAATCTGTATAGATTTGTTTATTGTACTCCAAGCAATTATCATTGTGATAAGTGTCTTGGAATAGGTTTCAATTGTAAGGGTTGTGTAGCACTCAAAGCTTTGAAGCAAGAGTGTTTGAATGTTACTTGACTAAAGCTGTGAAGCAGAGTCAAGATAGTTGTGTACATTACTCAAAGCTGTGAAGCACGAGTGATTGTGTTACTTGATTAAAAAGCTGTGAAGCTTAATCAAGTGTGTGTTTTGAAGAGTGTCTTCAACAATTCTCAAGTCAAATTTGTTTATGTATCACTGCTGTGATTGAGGGGGAGTGAGTAGGAACTCAGGTTTAAGTTGTACTTAGATTAGAATTGCATTGGGTAGGTCTTAAGTGAAGGAGATAAACTGGTTGGTTTATTCCTGAATTAACATCTCTTATAGTGGATTCTCTCCCTGGCTTGGTAGCCCCCAGAGTAGGTGTTGTTGCACACTGAACTGGGTAAACAATTGACTGTGTTATTTACTGCTTTTGTATTTGCTGTCATATAGTAAGTCAGATACGGTGTCATAACATTGGACGTGACATTGAGTATCTGTAGCCAGAATTTTCAAGTCGCATCTAGCTCGATCAAATTTTTTTATCTAAACGCAAGAAGGTTCTCCACATAGCCCGTAAATTTGCGGCCGTCTTTAGTTCATGGTTGTTGAACTCAAACTTCCCTTCTTTTTCAACGGATGGCGAGCGGTACTCAATCTTCAAAATTTTGCGATTGTCGTCATATGGTAGAAGATTTTGCAATGTGTATTGCAGATCTTTTAGAGGGGTGTCTGTAAAGTGAATATTTCCAACATGCTAAATGATGTTCATTCTGATTTTTTGTATTTTAGTATGAAACAATATGACAAGTGAACTTATTTATAGTAGTGGGATGCTAATATAAATCACACAAACCCTATCTTGTGACACAGAATATTCTAGAAATGTAACTCTGAAACTACCTTTTTTTCCTTTATTCCAGAGACATATTTCCGGAAACTTCCCTAATATTATACTTCCGAAAATCACGCATTTATGTGATGCAAAGGGTGCGTCCGAAAATATACTATTGAAAATAGAGGGACAATTTCAAATTTTCATAAAATTATTTTAAACTATATAGAGTGTAATAAGAAAGTCTCTTAATAGAATTTTATAGAATTATTTTAAACTATATAGAGTGTAATAAGAAAGTCTCTTAATAGAATTTTGATGTAGCCCAGACTGGGTCTTATACTTTCAATATTTGAGGATATTGCTCAACTCTTAAAATGCACATTATTTTATATAGGAAACACACTATAAATATTAAGTAGTGTATTTTTTTTTATAGATTTGAGTTTATACGAAAATGTATGGAACTATCTGAGAATGCTAAAACAGAACAAAAGATTGCTTATACAACAAAAAATCAGCATGGATGATTTACATTACAAGGATTTCATTTAATTACTATTTTGGTTACACAAGTGGCCTTAAATACAAAAATAAAATCATATAATACTAACTCTAACTTAATCTTACAAAAAAAAATACAAGAATTTCTACCAAATACAAATAAACCAAATTGAAGGGAAAAGAGAGTTTCATTTAAGGCCTTCATGGAGTTTCATCAATTGTGTCTAGAGCTGGTTTCCAAGATCTCTGCTTGCAGTACCTTTGAACATGCTCTGTCTCCATTACCACCTCATACTTATCATCTTCAAATACTACTCTCTTTGCCTCTGAATTAGGAAACATGCAAAACTCACTAAAAACAGGAAATATCTTTCCCAAGTTGTTCAAACTCGCATGCTTCGTCGCCCTCGACGCTTTATAGTTAAGAGAACTCATTTCTTCATGAGTTAGAACTGAGTATAGCAGCTCCATTGGTAGAAGAAAGTAAAACTTGCGCCTTTCGAGTTCTTCGTCGGCTAATAGTCCTTGAATTCGATGTCCTACTTTGAGGTAGCTTGAGTCACAAACAAACTGTCCGGGATATTCTACCATTAACTCTGCAGCTTTTATTGCTTTTGTGTATGCTTCTATTCTTCCATCTAAGAGTAACACCTTGAACACACCTTTGGTTGGAGTACAAGAAGCAACATTACCCATTTCTTAGAAGCAACCTAGAAATGTTGGATGGTTGGAGTGGAGATTGAGTTGAGTTGGAGGTTGTCAGAACTTCTTATTTATGTGTAATCTGTTGGCTATCTTTTAATATTAATCATCAAGTTTGTCTTACTCAAAATGATATCTTCATAACAAAGTTTCCCAACTGGCAGCAGCTTAGTTTTATTTCTTAATAATATAATAACAAATGTGATTTAGGCCTAACTCTTTCTTACGAAATCAGCTGGTAGGATGACAATTACCTCACTTATAAGAAAAAATTAACATTATAGTGAGACTCTTAACATGCTTCTTCATGTCTAGAATTGGACATCTGTGATACATCGGATCTTAAACGAGACTATGATATTCTGTTAACAAATATGATTTAGATATAACAAATTCTTATAAAACTGACTTGTAAGGTAAAGATTCTTATTAGTCTGGATGACCAATCCTTTTTAGATATGGTGAAAGTTTTATCTAGAAATTGTTTTATTTCTCTATTTGACACTTCAACTTGTCCATTGGTCTCTGAATGATACAGTGTTGCTGCCCTCACTTATAAATATATGTTCAAACCATATATCATAAGATGTCGGACTCTTAATAGTTGCCATTTCATGATCTCAAGTTCAAATTTTGCCAAATGATAACAACTTCTATGTTGAAACGGTTTATACATGGTTTTACTCTATCTTCAATTGAACTACCAGTAATAAACAATGAGATCGATACTTCAAATTAATCAATTATAAGGACGAATACTGAATTGTGAATACCGAATTACACATATTAAAAATTAAGAGATACTACTAGTAGGTAGGTTTGTGTTCAAGACTTTTTAAGTTTGTATATAAAATGTTTGTCTACTATAACACTAAAAAAGTGTCGCTTTAAAAATAGTTTTTGTTTTTAATTCAAAGATTAGGTTAGTTGTAAAGCCACAAATGTGAAGGAAAACTAAAGGACAGTCTGGCAAATTTGGTCTATTTTGACTTGATGTGAGGAAAAAGAAACATTTGCAATTTGGTTAAAAGTTTGAGTGAGTATTTAATTAGGGTGCACATGGGGAAGATATGGTGAGAATGGAACCAGATACAGATAACCACACTTAACGACAACACCAAATTAATCATTAGATATGGTACCAAGTCATTTATCACATTGTATATCATTAATAAAGTTCTTCAAGCCAATATCTTTTAATATTTATACATGCACTTTATTTTGGAAAAAGGATATATAGTCACTATCTGATGTTACCTTGCAATATATTCCCATGAAGGAATATTATACATTTATTTAGTAAGGGTCTACTAGTTGTTATTTAAGAAAAAAGTGATATGTCCAATTAAGGTTATAATTTATTGATATTATAATAAAATAATGTGATTTCAGTAGGATTTATTTTTGAATTGCTTTGAAGAGTAGGTGATTAAAACAAAAATTCACTAATTAACAAATGAAGAATATTTTTTATAGTACAAGTAAATGATTGGTGGATCATTAAGAAATTAGGAGATAGTATTAGTTGTTAAAGAGGCTGGATGTTTGATTTGGTGGATTTTGTGCTTGTTTCTTATCAAATTGAACTAGTGCTTTGGTTGCTTAAATGGTTGACAACTTGACAAAAACATCAACAAAGACAAGTGACAATTGGCACTGGCAAACATATCAACTTGCTGTAAATCTATTATGTGGCCTACTATTACCAAAAATATCTATAGGAGCTGTCTTGATGCTCATGTAATTTCTACACAATCTATGTGTATGGTTGATTATTTAGTTGGTTTCACCTTTAGAGGTGAGATTTTAGTTAATGTTTGATAATGTACTTGTTTAGGTTTTGATCACAATATTTGGTCTATTCCATATGCATTGGAGGCTAAAAGTTCTGCTTACCATAGTTAATGAATGATACAACTTATAAACCCATGCATGTCCGTGCTTATGGGGATTTTGTTAGGATGCTGGTAGATATGGACCTTACTAAGAAATTGAGACAAGATCTTGGTGGAATGAATAGGTTTTGTATTATTTGTAGAGCCGGAGTATGAAAGTCTCTTATTATGAGATCAATGCAATTGCATTTCCTACAACTTCAATACTTGTAAGAAGAATAGAAACATGCCTTAAGATTTTAATAAAGGTTGAAAAAAGTTTAGGCTAAGATTCTATGAAGTAGGTTTACGCTAGAAAAGACTATGTTAAACGTTGATCAAGTGACTTCAAACACAATAGAAAATAAATTATGGTATTCAAAATTTGTGATTAATTTAAATAATTTATTACTTAAATAACAAAATGTGTTAGTATATCATGATCAAAGAGAAATGCAGCAGAAAGAAAAATGTAAAGTAGTAAATAAGCAATAGAAACTAAAGTGATAAGAGAAAGAAAGATGAAATTAGAGATTTATCAAGTTTCGCCGAACGTTGTCCTAGTCCCGTCCCCAAGAGATTTTCTTGAGATTTGACTATAATATTGAGATTTTACGGGTTATGCCCACGAACTTTTGATATAAGCGAATAGAGAGATTTTACACCACCTTATCACCCAACTAATAGACAGTTTTTTTCCAGGCTGAGCTCACGAACCAATTAGAGATTTTACTGGTTGATATGAAAAACCAAATTGAACTTTTTAAGGTTGATTTATATAACCAAACTGAGATTTTGGAAATGGTCGATCTCAAGAAACAAACTCAATTTTTCAAGAGTATGACACTCTTGAAAATAACAATAGTGACACGAGATGAGTACAACTTTTTTCTCACAGACAGTTTTCACTCACAAGGCACTAAAGTAATTCTTGTGAAAAAGATAATGTTGTGAATTCAATGCCAATAACAAAGTATAGTATTTGGGAAGAATAAAGAACAAGGAAGAAGAAGAACACAAGAATTGGTTATAACTGCTATTCTTTACTTTCTCTTTGAAAACAAGATTACAAGTTTACAAGGATAACAAATAACCCTCTCACCCTAATTAGGATTTGCTGTGATGCAATGATGAGAGACTAGTATGCTATTTATAATAAAACCTAACATACTAACTAATGGGCTTTTTCCACAAGGCCCATTATACAAGCTAACTTAACAAATTAGGGTTTAAACATTAAAACCTAATTCGACAAGAATCCTTCGACAAATACATGCTGGACCCTTCTTCGACTACAGCATGTACTTCGACCAACTAGAGTTCGATAATCTCCACCTTGGACCTAACTCTACAGCATCAAGAGACACTAACTAGCTTTCTTCATGCAGCTTTATCAACTGCATACAGTGGAAAAACTTGCAACTTGGCAATGTTTTGGTGATCATATCAGCAGCATTGTGATCTGTCGAGACCTTCAGCACTTGGACTTCTCCACGCTCGATTACCCCTCTGACGAAATGCAGCCTCACATCTATGTGCTTGGTTCGCTCATGATAGGCTGAGTTCTTCGACAGGTGTATTGCACTTTGACTATCACATTTAACAGTGATACCTTGACCTTGAAGTTTCAGCTCCTTTGCAAAGCCTTCAAGCCACAATGCTTCTTTCACAGCTTCAGTTAGGGCAATATATTCTGCTTCAGTAGTTGATAAGGCAACAACCTTCTGAAGAGTTGCTTTCCAACTAATTGCTGTACCAAACATAGTGAAAACATATCCAGAAATAGATTTTCTGGAATCCATACAACCTGCATAATCGGAGTCAACATAGCCTTCGACTGCTGCTTTACTATCTTCACCCAAGGCTCCACCATAAATTAAGACTCTGTTCAGAGACCCATTTATGTACCTTAAAATCCACTTTAACGCTTGCCAGTGAGCCTTTCCAGGATTCGCCATGTACCTGCTTACAAGACTTACTGCATATGCTATATCGGGTCTAGTACAGACCATAGCATACATCAAAGAACCAACTATATTAGCATATGGGATGCTATTCATATAGGTTCTTTCGACATCAGTACTGGGACATTGATCAATACTCAGCTTGAATTGAGGGTTTGTTGGAGTCACAACAGGCTTCGAGTTCGACATACCAAACTTGTCAAGAATCTTTCGTAGGTATGCCTCTTGAGATAAGCATAATTTCGACTGCTTTCTATCTCTTCGAATGTCAATTCCAAGAATCCTAGATGCAGCTCCCAGATCCTTCATGTCGAACTCCTTATTGAGTTCAGCCTTCACCCTCATTACATCTTCGACATTGTTGCTTGCTATCAGAATATCATCAACATAAAGCAACAAAATAACAAATGAATTTTCAGGTCGAAATCTGGAGTAAACACAATGGTCGAACTGACTTCTAATGAAACCTATGTGTTCCATGAACTTGTCGAATCTCTTATTCCACTGTCGAGGAGATTGTTTAAGTCCATATAAAGATTTCTTCAGTTTGCACACATAATCTTCTTTCCCCTTTTCGACATACCCTTCAGGTTGCCTCATCAGGATTGTTTCATCTAAGTCACCATACAAGAACGCAGTCTTCACATCCATTTGTTCCAGTTCAAGGTCGAACTGAGCCACCATGGCAAGCAACATTCGGATGGATCTGTGCTTCACAACAGGGGAAAATACATCATTGAAGTCGACACCTTCTTTCTGAGTGAAACCCCTTGCGACTAATCTTGCCTTGTACCTCTTCGACATTACTCCTTCAATTCCTTCCTTAACTTTGAAAATCCACTTACAGCTGACTAACCTTGCCCCAACAGGTTTCTTGATTAGTTCCCAAGTGTGATTATCATGAAGAGATTTCATCTCATCATGCATGGCCTTTAGCCATTCAGTCTTCATTCGACTCCTCATAACTTCCTTATAATCTCTAGGTTCTTCGTCTAGAACTTCACTTGCAGAGATTAAGGCATAAGCTACAAGATCTGCATATCCAAGTCTCTGAGGTGGTTTTATGACTCTTCGTTGCCTATCTCTCGACAATAGGTAGTCATCAACAGTTTCCTCAACATCATCAGAATCTTCTGTTTCTTCTTCGACTTCATCT